AAAACCATACAATTGCGATTGCAGTGCCAAACCGGATCAACACACTTTCAAATCTGATTAAGGAAAGAAAGGGCAGCAGGATGGGGCCAGGGCAGGGGTTGGAACAGAGCGCAAAGCAGGCAGAAGGAGTTACAAGTAGGAATATTTGTTTTGGAGAGAGAGGTAAGAGGAAAAGTGTTTATCAATGACTAACTTCATTTTTGTTAAGAGTTTTAAATTTGTTTTTAAGATAGGTTAGAAAGCAAGAGATAGGGGGTGGGGGAAAGCGAGCAAATATCTCCCACTTGCTGGTTTATTTCCCAAATGACTGTAATATCCCGGGCTAGATCAGGCTGAAGGTGGGCATGAACCAGAGCTTCAACATGAGTTCAGGAGCCTATGCACTTGGGCCATATTTAGCTGCTTTATCAGACACACCAACTGGAACAGAACTGGAACCAGTACTCCAGGCACCACAATGCTGGCCCCACAATGCCCTCATTTCTATATTATGTGCAAGTCCAAAACATCTTATGAGATTAATCAAAGCCACAGTGTGAAATACAATACCACCCGCTAAATGTGCTTAATGAAGTACGTTAAAATCAAGTTACGAGAAAAACTCAATGCCTCACTCTAACTCTTCGTTTTCTGGCATTCAGTATGCACCTATCTAGTGGCAGCCACAGTGAGCAGCACAGACACAAAAATTTCCCACAGGACAAACAATTCCAGTGTTTCCAAAATAATAATAACAATAATAACTTAAAACTTTCAGACATTATGTAAGTGCTCAGTGTTTCTGAACGAGTGTAATAATTTGTATTCAAAATAAATAGGAGAGACAAATGGGGAATTTATTCACAGCAAGTATCTGCTACTGGAAGTTTAGTAAATGTATTTCTAATTGAGACTATATTTTGTTGGATTTGGTTTAAAAAAACTTCCTTCTTGAATTTCCAATTTATGTTACTTGTGGAATGTAACATTACATATTAATCCATATGATTTTTATAACTTAAAACTTCTATTATTTTGAAAACAGTGGTAAGGCAGGAAAATATCCATAGGCTGAGCTACATGATGACTTTACAACTCACTTGGATCAAGGATAAAACGCATGTTCTTTACAAAAAAAAAAACCATGGACATTTGTCTTCTGTGTGGAATTAGGCACATACGCCCTTGCCCAGCTTACAGCTTTGTTGAGAAAAATAAATACATAATATTGCTTTAAATCCATAATGTCCGTATTTTTTAATTATTAGTGTAATTTTTATGGAAGCAAACAAATTGCCTGTGTATTAACTGTTAGATGCTGTTATGAGTCACAATATTAAAAACCTCTCCCAGGCTAATAATTAACTTACCTGTTCTGTTGCTTATCAAATTGAAACACCTGTCTGCTCTGTTAATATTTAAAATCATCGGTAAGATGCCATTAATGCTTGTTTGTCTTTTACGGAGCCATGGGAGCCTGGGATCATTATCCCATCCCCCAGCATCTGCTCCTCACATTTTCTTGCCTCTGCTTGGAGCTCAGAATCACGTTCTTCATCACTCCGTCACATCTTTCACAAAATCAAGGTATGTGTCAGATGAACAAAGCCATCAAACCATCAGCATACAAAAGAAAGCATGAGGTTTAAATGATTTGACAAAAATTAAGATAGTAAAGTGAAACAAATGCTATTATTGCTTTATAACATCCGACCCTAATATTATTACTTGACAGTTATCATTATTAACATGACTGAATTATTCCTTTTACAAATTTTTCTGTTTAAGTTTGAAATCAATCATCTTACTTCTTATATTTTCAAATCAGTATGCCGCATTTTCAGACATATTATCCCACCTGAATCATTCAGTTAAATCCCAAGGTTGCTTGGTAAAGTACCTCAATCTTAATTTTCCTTAGGTTCAGAAAGATGAAGGGATCTGCCTAACATCACACAGCTGGAAAATGACTGAAACTCGGATTGTAATGTTAATACGCAGGGACGACAAATCACATTCTGTCTGGAAACAATTGCACTTGTTTGTTCGCTTCCTTCATTTTGCAGTGTGAGTTGTTGATTAGGTCTCTGCTTCTTTGTTTTTTTTCACTCTTAGAAATCCTACAAGGTTATGAAAGCCTCAACTTCAAACAGCTTTTCTTAAGCAATATTTCCTCTAGGTCATCTTTCTCCATGCTAATCGTGGGTTATAAAACAGCCTTTAAACGCCAACTAAGAATGGCAAGTTCACAGTAGCTCTCTTCAATGAAGACTGGGAAATCTTTACAGAAGCTGGAATCAAACCAGACCCCAGTGTGAGAGTGTATTTAGCAACATTTTTTTTAAAATCTATTCAGGCTAAAATGATGAAAATACTATAGACAAGATAAATTTTCAGGAAATGGAACTCAGGTCACTGGCATTGCACAGAAATGCCGTGAGCCCTATAGGCACACGCACAAAATGGAATTATTCATAAGGTTGACTTTTCAAATACTTTCTTATCGATTTTTTGTAGGAAAGCAGCCTCCCAGCCACCACAAATAAGACCACAACAAGCTGGTTGAGGAGGATTATGCTCTGACCAAATTCCCTCTGACTGCAGTAGCTCCACAAAACCGGAATGCTAAAAAGTGGGCAGAACTCCTACTCACAAACAGATCAAACAATGTGTGCAGAAGGCAGGATGTGGAGTCACAACTGCCCTTTGTAATAACTAGAAAATTAACCATTTTACTACTTGTACAAAACCGAGTGCATTTATGCAAGAAAACACACAAAACAAAGCAAAATAAAAGCTCTCCAAAACAAAATTACAACCTGACCCTCTTTTGCTATGGTGCTCAAAACTTTTAGGATTCCAATTAAAAAAAAAACAGTTTTTATTTGAAAGTTGAAGCAGCTCAACAAGTGTTAGCAACGATGAGCTCAGCCATCAACAACCCTGCAGAGGAAATTTCGTCTATCACATTGCTATCCAAAAAGCTGTTTTCCTTTGGCCACAAGTAAAGAACAATTTTGTAATGCCATGATTTGGGGAATATTCTCAAGGTTTCCTCAGACTCCTATTGAGATTGAAGTTTCTTGCTCATTAATATCTTTGTCCCTTGTGGTTGCAACATGAATATGTTTTAAAATCTGCAAGACTGATTGTCAGGGATCTGGCTTTAAGAACTAGGTTTCAAATTGATGATGCCTAAACTATTTTGCCCATACAGACAAACTGGCAACTGAGAATGAGATCATGGGCTTTGTCTGTAGGCTGCACTGACCCCAACCTGCGGTGACTTTTCAGACTTTGACAATGCCAACACTGTGACTGGAATTAAATCTGGGAACAAACAACAGCCTATCTCTCCATCTCAAAACTGGATTATTACCATGTTTAGCCCACACTCGGAATTTCATCCCTCTTCCCACTTCATTCATTTTCTCTCTCTAATTTTGGATGCATCCACATCCACCAATAAAACCGTAAATCAGTTTGTGGAAAAGGAAAGTAAGATTATATTTTATTCCTCTATATCTACATCCATGTCAGGGATTAATTTTGTCTCTCAAAATAGCATAACCTTTTGATAAATGAACAAATGAAAGACATGGTGGTATTCCTTTAGATAATCCAACCTCTGCCTCCATATTTCAGTTTTTTCATATATTTAAATGAATATACAGAGACTGAAGAGGTGGAATAAAATGATGAAGAGCTTAACACTTCAGAGGCCAGTATTTTGGCATAGCAAGCAAAGCCACTGCCTATGATACCGACATTCCATACAAGTGTTTGTTCAAATTCTGGGTGCTCTATTTCCCTGCTAAAGCCTGAGAAAAGCAACAAAATATGGACTAAGTGTTTGTCCCTTGCCATCCATATGTGAAACCTTGGAGAAGCTGAGGTTTCTAGGTGTAGGCTGGCTCAGCTCAGATGTGGCAGCCCGAGGAAAAGAAGTTTCAGATTTGAAATCTATAGTGTGATTCTAGCTAAATTACTTAAGCCCTGTGTGCTTCAATATACTTATCTGTAAAATAAAGTCAATAGCATCTCTTCAAAGCATTGTAAGGACTGATCAAACAGCATATGTACAATGTGTTGTATAAGTTGTCTCTCCACAAATGGTTTTGCAATAATATCAGAAATTCTTTCTGTCTGTAACATACTGTAAGTTTATGTTTCCTCTGAGGGGACATGCCAATAATCATTAAGAACACAAGGAAAATGTTACAGAACACAGAACAGCAGCTCTTTGAGTCCTTGTGTGCATTGTCTTAGCTTTACCAGGAGGAAGACAGATATCTGAGAACTGGTCTTTACTATACTACCCTGAAGTTTGAACTAAATAGAGGCAATAGAGTTGGAAGCCAGAGAGGCAAGTATGTTAATTAAAGACAGTAACTTTAAACTAAACATTTTGTTTAAACACATGTATTGAATTCTTGCTTTTCTATGATGTTTGTGTTTAATTGAATCTCTTCCTAAGCATGGGTGTCTACTTTTATCTCAGAAACAAATGACGAAGCTATGAAAGACTCGTTCAATTTTATAAATATAGTCATAGCCTAATGGCAAAAATAGGTATCTAAATCAATATTTTAATGAAAGAAATAGACTGCTAGACCTAATAAAGGGATTTTTGCAAGGTAGCAGGGTATGAAATCGATGATAATAAATTGGTGGACTTATTTTACATGAACAACTCCAGGACTGAGAAAGAACTTGTAAGAATACCCCTTTCAAAATGTCAGAGAAGAATCTTAAATACTTTGGAATAAACCTAGCCAAAGATGTGGAATACCTTTACAGGGAAAATTACGAAATACAAAAAAACTGAAGATGAAGAAATTTATCATGATCCTGGATTGGCATAATCAATATGACCAAAGTGTCCATATTACAAATTCAGTGTGATCCCTTCAAAATCCCAACAACATTCATCTCAGAAGTGGGAAAGATGATTAAAAAAATCCATCTGGAAACGCAACAGACCACAAATAGCCAAAGCTATCTTAAAGAATAAGTCAAACTGGAGAAATCACAATTACAGACCTCAACACATACTACAGAGCAGCGGTCATCAAAGCAGTCTGGTGCTGGAACAGAAACAGAAGAAGATAATGGAATAGAAGTCCCAAGAGATTTCACACCTGTACAGTCATGACAAGAGAACTGAAAACAACCCAGGGAAAATGTCTGGTCTCTTCAACAAATGCTGTTGGGACAACTGGATCGCAGCCTACAGAAGTCATATAAAAAGATCCCTTCCTGTCATGTCATATAAAAATCGGCTCTAAATGTATCAAGGACCTAAATCTGCACCCAAAAGCATCAAACTGTTAGAAGAGAACATAGGAAGCACTGTACAAAACATAGGCATTAGTAAGAATGTTTTAGAGTCACCAAAAACACAGGCAGCCAAAGCCAAAAGGAACAAATGTACATCTTCTCTACAAGAAAGGAAACAATAAACAAAGCAAAGAGGCAACCATCACACTACACAACAGATAGGGGACTGATATCCAGGCTTCACAAAGAGCTTCAGAAACCTAACAACAGCAAAACAAACAACCCTGTGAAGAAATGGACAAAGGAAATGAGCAGGCATTGTTTAAAGGAACAAACTCAAATGGCTAATAGACATATGAAAAAACGTTCGGGCTCCCCAGCAATTATGGAAACGCAAGTAAAAACCATATTGAGATTCCACCTAACTCTGATGGGAATGGCCTGCATACATAATATATCTACTAACAACCTCTGCTGGCATAGACGTGGGGCGGGGGGGGGGGGGGGGGGCGGGAGGGGGGGGGTGGAACTACCCTATTCCATTCGGAAGTTTAGGCCAGTAGATCCACTATGGAAGTTAGTATGGAGAATGTTCAGACAACTAAAAATTGATCGGCCATATGACTCAGCTATCTCACTCTTGGGAATATATCTAAATGAAGTGAATCTGCATACAAGAAAGTGTCTGCACTGCTACATGTATAGCAGCACAATTCCTAATAGTGAAAGAAAGAATGGAGAGAGAGATGGAGAAAAGAAGCAAAGGAGGAAGGGGGGAAATATGGAAGGTTAAGATTTTGTGTTAATTGTACACAGAGGACATATTTAAGACAGAAGAGTAAAGGAACATGAAGTCATGCATGATTTCTGTAACTCATTCAAACTGGTAATGTCAATATAAAGAGATTGTGACAGCTAGATGCATAATACAACACCTGTCGAGCATACCACTAAAAGAGCTATGCAAAGATACAATACTCAAAAACATTACAGATGAAATGAAATTCTGAAAACTTCCCCAACTAATTCACAGGAAGACAGGAATCAAAAAACATAAAGTAGGGCAAAAACAAAAATCAAATAAAAATCAAATAACACATCAAAACCTATATTATATTAATAAATAAAATAAATATGTGACTTAGATGCTACAATTAAAAGACAGAAATTAGTAGGATAAATTTTCCTTTTTGTCTCTTTTTATTTATTTGCTTGGAAGGCCAGAAGCAGAGAGAGAAAGATTCTCCCATCTGCTGGTTTATTCAAATCCCCCAAATGGCCATAGCAGGACCAGGTCAAAACTGGCAGATGGAAATTCAATGCACATATTCCACATGGTTGGAAAAATGTAATTACTTGAGGCGTCAGCACTGCCTCCAAGAGTCGACACTAGTAGGAAATCAGGGTCAGGAGCCAGTCACATGAAGAGCACAAACACTGCAATGTGCAACACATCCTTTCTAAACGGTATCCTACCATTAAGGTAAAAGTCTCTCCCAGAAGAGTAGACTGTAAATCAGGTGGGCTAATTACAACAAACTCACTTCAAATGTAACTATACAGGAAGGACAAAAATAATTCAATGAGAAAATACAGTGAGTAAATGTGAACACAAAATAAAAACAAGGAAGGAATATGTTAATATCTTATGACTCAGATTTCAAATCGAAATCATCTGAAACAAAGAGATTGCATATGATGATTAAAGGGTCAATATACCAAGAAGAAATAACAATCCCAAACACATGTGCCAAACAGAGCTGCAAATGATGTGATCCTAAACTGATGTAATTGAGGCACTAAATAACTAACTCTATAGATTTGGCTGAGATCATCTATACTGTTTTCTCAGTAATTGATGTATCAGCTAGACAATATGTTAGCAAAAATATTTACAATACCCCCGACCCGCAGGGTATATCTACCCTTCTACCTAACAACAGATTAATCGTCATTTTAAGTGCTCACAGATTATACACCAAAATAGAGCACATAAATACCATAAAGTATAGAAACTTTAAGAACCATACAGAACACGTTTATTCAAACCAAGTGGATACAATGAGTAGGAGAAACAAAATGAAAATCACTGAACATTTGAATACTAAGCAGCATTATTCTAAATAACCTGGAGATTCAATAGGAAGTCTCAAAGGATACAAAAAAAATTTTGATATAGTGAGAATTAAAACATAGCATATCAAAAATGTGTGTACCATAATCCATCCCTTGAGAGAAGTTCAAATATTAAACACATTCATTAGAAAAGAGAAAATGTCTTGAATAAACAATCTTAACTACCATGTCAATATCCTAAAGAAAACTCAACTAAGTCTACAGCAAGAACAGGGAAGAGAATAATAAAGACACAGATAATAAGAACAATATTGTTGATAGAAAATGCAAAGAAGCAGTGACACCAAAATTTTAAATCTTTATTAAGGATAGCAAAGAAAAAGATGAATATACAAATGTGAAGAATGAAACATTGGGTAGCAATGCAAACCCTACAGACAAAAGAAAGGAGACCAGTGGATTATGATGACAACACGTGCGTAGAAACAAAACAGACTGATAGACCACAAGTCAGTCTCCATTACGCAGATAATTTTAATAGTCCTGTAACTACTAAGGAACTTCAATTTATGATTTTTAAAAGCTCCAAAAACAAGCATCCAAGCCAAGAGAGTTTCATTGGGAAAATTGGTCAAGCATTTGAAGATTTGACACCAATTCTATATAATGCCCAAAGGATAACAGAACACTTCTCATTTTATTTTACATACCAAAGACACACAGATAACAGATAGAAAATCACAGACAGTATACCTCAATAAAATAGATTAAAAAGTTCTTTATGAACTAGCCAATACAAATTCAGCAATATGTAAAAATAATTACAAATAATGACCAGTTTTTAAAGTCCAGCTTGTCATTGAGAAAGCATCAGCTTTATGTACCAGATCAGTAGGTTAAAGAAAAAATATCACATGCTCATTTCAGTCAATGCCAAAATGTATTTGACAAAATTCAACATCTATTTATTTTAAAAACTCTGAAAGGAGTAAATCTTCAGCGTGGTAAATGGCATCAACAGAAAACCTAGCCAACATTGTACTCAGTGGTCAACGACAAGATTCTTTTCTATTAAGATAGAGAGCAAGACTAGTCCACTCTCACCACACTGACTAAGCAGGGTGAAAGAATTTCCACCCATGACAACAGGCTAGAAACAAAATGCATAAAGATTGGGTACAAGAATACAGCTCCCTGCTTTTAGATGACAGGATTGCTTATACAGAAAAATCCAAGAAATTTTTTAAAAACTCCCATGGTTTGACTCAGCAAGTTTATAAAAAATAAACCAAAATAACCAACTGCATCAATATATATTGACAATGGGAACCAAATTTTAAATTGTAACTCTACTCATGATCCTTAAAGTGAAATGTGGGCCCAGCACATTAGCCTGGCGGCTAAAGTCTCTGCCTTGAACACACCAGAATCCCATATGGACACTGGTGGTAATACCGACAGTCTTGCTTCCCATCCAGCTCCCTGCTTGTGGACTGGGAAAGCAGTCCACAACAGTTCAAAAAAGCCCTGGGACCCTGCACCCACGTGGGAGACTCAGTGGAAGTTCCTGGCTCCTGGCTTCAGATGAGTTCAGCTCTGGCCATTGCAGCTACTTAGGGAGTGAATCAACAGACAGATCCTCCTTTCTGTCTCTCCTCCTCTCTATATTTATATGATTCTTCCTAGTTTGATATACAAATTTAATGTAATTCCTTTTAAAATTGCATACATTTTTGTAGATACAGATTATTCTAAATTTTATGTGGAAAGGCAGCAAGACTGGAGTATTTGTAAGATCTTTGGGGAAAAAAAATAGACTAATTGCTCTTGTGTAATGAGAAGCCTTGCTGCACAGTGCAGGAGCCTGAACTGCGGGACTGTGGTGGCGTCATCAGTATAACCATCAGTGCAACCGAATGCAAAACCAGGATATCAATCCAAGCAAACAGGAGGCAAAGGCCTTTCAGGAGGAAGGGAACCTTTTAAATGAATGGTGCCAGAGGAACTGGACACCCATAAGCCAAAATCATGGAACCTCAATGGAAGAGTCACACCTCATATAAAATTTAACTCAAAATGGATTATAGGATTAAACTTTCAAAGCATATCCATTCTCTCAAACTTTCCAATAATCTGTTTCCCAACATTTTACAACTGCTTCTTCCTTATCTCCAAATGCTACCACTGCAGAAGGGCTGCACTGTTGTATTTAATTATTTCTGTCACAATAATGTATTATGTATATAATATGCACAATAATTAACATGATTTTACTTTTACCTTTTTTTTCTTAATTTGCTGAAATATAATTTTATTAGATGTGTTTTATCGGTTACTGTTAAACTTATACCAGGGCATAAGTTTCACACACAACAACCATGTGTGCTCTATTCAGGAATGTGCCCTCCTTGGATTCCATGCCCTCAGGAACACAGTGTGAATTCCAACAAATGTATGTCATGAAATGACTGAATGCGTCTCAGACGGCTAGAACATACCTTGTGAAACAGAGCGCCAAGATTTATTTGTTACTAGAGAATTCTGGATTTATAAACTGCACTTTTTTTTTTACATACATTCCCCTTTTAACAACTCAACTAGAGTAAGTAAATAAACTTTCTGGGTCTCTAAATGTTAGTGTAGGTTGTGAAGCAATTCACAGAGTTTGCATTCTATGATTTGGGAAAAAGGTTGACTCTCTTCTTGAGATGAATTGACTTCCTGGGACCCTTAAACACAACAGAATGAATGTCTA